TTCGGACTCGTCGCAATACGGCCAACGAAATCAGCAAGCAAGTACGTCGTACTCGCGGCCGCAGCCCCCGGTGCCCGGCCCACCGCCACCCATACCCGCGACGCAGGTGCAGACAGGTCGCATTCCCATCCCGGCGGACGCAGTGTTCGATCCGAACATCCCGCTGAAGAGCGTGAGCTTCCCACGCGAGTGCCTCCCGCGCTTCCTTGCGATCGCGAAAGTGAACACGGAGAGGAACCGCGAGACATGTGGGCTGCTACTCGGGAAGGACAAAGGGCATAAATACAGCGTCACGACACTCCTCATACCGAAGCAGCACGCGACGAGCGACACCTGTACGATGGACGAGGAGGAGCTCGTGCTCAAGTTCACAGAGGAGCGCAGCCTCATCACGCTTGGCTGGGTACGTCCATTCTGCCTGTGTTGTGCGACCCTCGCTGATAACGTCGCTCTCGTACAGATACACACACATCCATCGCAGTCGTGTTTCATGTCGTCCGTGGATTTGCACACACATTCGGGATTCCAGCGCATGCTACCAGAATCATTTGCCGTCGTCTGTGCGCCAAAATCGAATCCAAAGTATACTTATCTTCTTCCACCTAAAAATTGTGGTTGACGTAATATCTGCATCAGTTTCGGCATATTTCGCTTGACGGACCCTCCTGGCCTGTACACCATTCTTCAATGTAACGCGAAGGAAGCATTCCATCCTCACCCGGACAAACCGATATACACCGTATGTGTTCTATTCTTTAACAGTGATCTCTACCTCATGGTTTCATCCAGGATGCCGACAAGGGGCACGTACAGATGAAGGACTCCGCTTTGGAAATCGTGGACCTACGATAAGCACCTTCTCCGATCTTTGTTGATAAAAATTCCAGCTGCAAGCCCGGAGTACTATGTATGTGTTCCAGGCCTTTGTATCCCATCTTGTTCTACCACCGTTGTCGTCATCTCAGCATCCAATATCCCGCATACTCTTTATATACCCACCCACAAATATGTAAGAGTATATCCAGCACCACTCTGTATCTATTTAGCCTTATTCGTTGCATGGATTAGKAAATACAAAAAACACTTGGCGAATAATAATTGGAACTTGTCCGCAGAGAAGGTTTATTTACAGTATTGATTCACTGGGATCAATGTTGCGTAGATTTAGTTTCTGTACCGATTTTCCATGTCAACGTCGCGCACAAGCTGGTCAACGGGATCAGCAATGGATATACAAATGATGGGGTGTCTGCAGTCAGTCACTCTGAATTGCACAAACAGAAGCAGTAAGCTAAGCCGTGCGAGGAATGAAATAACAGCCCCCTTTTTATGTACAAGTTTTACAAACGAAAAAATGCAGAACGGCACCCACAATAGATTTCCCAGTCAAATTACTAGCGATTCTGAAGTTTTTAGTTGGTCAACGCGTTCACGCTACTTGTTTCTGATCGTACCACGCAGACCGCCCGAATGTCCATGGAGAAGTACGCTGTAGGTAGTGATTAATAATTATACAACTTTTGCTCTGCGATCCACCCCTTCGCCCCCCCGCCCCATCAGCCAGCAAGGGAAGATACAGCGAACAGGGCCCAAAACGGAGGAGAGGTATGTACATGTACTGTAATAATTATGGGGGAGCGTATGCGCCTGCTGCTTATATTATAGCCCCCGGAGCAGATCGGCGTGGTCCGCGAGAGACAGTGAATGGCGGGCGCCTAGGTCGAGAAGATGCCGACGATTTTGAACGGCGCAACGCCCTGCCCCTCCTCGCCGAGCAACTGGCATTCGACAAAGTGCGACCCGCGCCCGACGTAGTGGTCTATTACCTGCAGCCTAAATCAAACGCGTCAGAATTCCGCAGCGGCCAGAAGAGGGTACCACATACGTAGGCGTCGGCGCGCCGACATCCCCCGCGTTCTCGATCATTTTCGCGCCCGCGTAGTTGTCGTCCACCCAGCACTCGACGCTGCTGCCCTCGCCGACGACGCTGACCGGCTCGCGCAGGAAGTACACGCCGATGTCGCCCGCGCCGACCTGGATCGGGATGCGCAGCTTGCTCGTCGGGAGCGTCGAGTACCAGTAGTGCGCCGCGGTCGTCAGCGAGCCGCCGCCCGCCGTCGCGGGGTGGTGCGCGAACCAGCCGGAGCCGTAGAAGAGCGACGGCGGGAGCGGGTTGATCAGGTCGTTCGCGGACACGCAGAACGGCGCGATCTCCTCGTACGCGCGCCCCGAGTTCGGCCGCGTGTTGATGCGCCCCGCGGGCACGTTCAGCTGCGACATCTCCTTCAAGCTCGGCTTGCGCACGGCGTCCACGCCCGCTGCGTCCTTCGCCTTCTTGCCTTCCTCCTCCGGCACACCGGGCCGCTGCCCGAGCCCGCCGAAGAGCCCGCCCTTGTCGCCGCTCCCGGGCGTGTGCGCAGGCACGGCGTCGAATGCGTTCCCGTGCGCGATGCTCCACGCCTTGCAGATCTCGGACTGCATGTACGCGATGAGCACGTCCGCGATGAGGTCGTGCCCGCTGACGCTCGCGAGGACCGGGTCCACGTAGTACTTGTTGATCGAGTTCGGGTTCTGCATGTACTGGGGGAACAGTGCCGATTTGACGCTGACGTGGGGCACATCATAGAACTGCGCCACGATGCTGTGCCAGTGGTCCGGCCCTGCGAATCCGTGCGCGTTGTGCACTTGTGGCGAGAAGTGGCCGAGGAGAAGTACTGCGGGCTGGTCGGGGCGAAGGAGGATCGACCGGATGAGGATTTCGAAGTTCTCCATCATCTCTTGGCCACTACGAGAAAAGGATCAGTACTATTCAATGACGGCTGGGGGCAAAATCAAGATCAAACGGCTGACAAGGCCGAAGAGAAAAACAGGTTGTTCGTACACGACTCCCGGGCTGTAAATGATGCAAAAAATGGTGCGTCGTAGTACAAAGCAGGCCGACACTTTGACGGCGATAAGCGAGAATAAAAAAGGAACAGTTTTCGTAGATCACAGCCAAGAAATATAGATGGTTAGAAAACAGAAAAGAAGATATAATGATGATAGGTCCCAGACCCGAAATATCAGCATAAATGTTGAAAGCGGATTGCCCTGACCCAAAAGCATAGGTCAAAAGTGAGAAATGCGTCGTGTTAATCGTCCAATGGCACAAATTCTGGAGCAGAACGAAAGTAGATCGAATGATAGTTGTCGGAGAGGCGTAGGTTCAAGGAAAATATTCCTGGACCACAACACTGAGAAAGCTAGAAGCGAAATGAAGATGATATGTCCCGGAACCGGAATCATAGGACGAAAGTGGCGATTATTCGCCCAAGACGACATAATCCGGAGAAGCACAATAGCGGATTGCATGAAAACGGCCGATAAATGAAGAAGTAGCGTTGGTTCAGGGAGGACGGCCCTGAGCTGCCAGGAAGGCGATTATATGGAAAGATGAAACAGGAAACAAGAAGCAGCTCGCGCCATCGACAGAGGTGGTATTGCAGGAAACATGATCATGAGGACGAAAAGAAAGTATTTTCCCCAAAACAAAAAAAGTGGACAGTCCAACGGCGGTCAATCGAAAGGATATGAAGGGGAGTGAAAGGCTGGTACAGACAGAAATGTAAACCAGAAAAAGCGAATGAGCGACTCACGGAGGATCCTCAGTGTCCAACTCAATGATGACCAGGTCGGTGACGTCCGGAAGGTGGTGCGAGTTGCAGAATCCAAAGTAGCCCGCGTTCGTGCGGCGCATGGCGCCGTTCGTGAGCTCGGATGCGGGGTGTGGGAAGACCGAGTTCCACCACTGGAAGAACTTGGACGGGTAGCACTTGGGCGAGATGGGGTCGTCGCCTGCGCCGTGGCACGCCGAGACTGCATGGGGAATCGTCGTCAGCGACGCAGAGAGAGAGGCAGAAAGCAGCGAAAGACGCACTGGACCCGCCGAGGACACTGATAGTAACGGGCTGCCCCGCCAGCGCCTGGTTGAGCACCCGCTGCACGCGCGCGCCGCTCCCGAGGTGCAGCCGGCTCTTCGAGAGCGTCAGCGCGCCGTACCTGCTGCCGAGCTCGTCGCCAGGGCCGTAGATCGGGCAGAAGGCGAACGGGTTGGGGCCGACCTCGGTCGCGTTGAAGTAGTTCTTCGCCTTGACGTCGGCGTTGGAGTAGTTGCGCACGGCGGACGCGGTGCCGATGGTGGGCCAGACGAAGTGCGTGCAGGTGAGGATGAAGACGAGGAGGCCGAGCAGGACCCAGATGCGGTTGGTGACGCCGAGGCTGCGCTGGCTGAGGCGCGACGGCTTTTCCAGGTCGGAGGCCATGTCGGGGGAGAGGTTCTGGGCGGACAGAGATATGTGTGCCTGTCCTCTAGCGGAGCGCCGTTGCATGCGACGGGGATTGGGCGAGCTTGTATGCTCGCGCGGAACAGACAAGACAGGATGAATGGATGGTCACAATTCCATTTTTCCCGTGCTATAAGCCGATGGATTTTCCCACAACTCGATTGCGGCCGCGCTTAGATCGCAGACACGCAACAAATATGTTTCTGGAGGTGCAGACGACGGTACTACGAGGAAATATAGATAGGCGCCCATGTATGCTATCAGCGAAGGGAGCTGAGGGGAATGCTCAAGAAATATGGGCAAATACTAAAAATAGACCGCATTGCAGCTCGAAGGTTAACACCGCAGCGAGCTAGGCGGCAATTCCAACCTTGGTCAAGTCTCGATCTAGGACGCCATATCTAGTAAAGAAACAGGTGAACAGTTGTGGGATGATTTTTTCCAACTGATAGGATAGGATTTTTATTATAAACACCACAAACGACAAGTTGAAGAGCAGCTCCAGAGTTTCATCAAAATTACAAGGTCATTCCACCAGCGGCGGCTACTTTTCGGTACCTTCAAAGTTCACACTCAACTTTCAAAAAAATGGAAGATGAAAGTGAAAAGTTCAAGGGATGATCGATGCGCCTTGGAAGTATTGACTTGGTCGGCGAAAAAAACTGAACCTCAAATGACTGGACACTGTGGGATTTGAACCCACGACCTCGTGCAAGCAGAATCAAGAGACATGCAAAGCAAGCGCGCTACCCCTGTGCCAAGTGCCCGTACTGCAGGAGCCTTTTCGACGCGGGCCTCCTGGGCCGGCCCACCCGGCGCTGCTTGTCGCTATTTGGCGACCCGTCTCTCTTCTTCTGCACTGCGCCATCGGCGACTATTTCAGAAATTTGACGTCCACCGATGGCCTCCACAAAAACCGCCAGTGCCCCGACCGCCAAAGCGACGGGCAAGAAGCCCTCGCGCTCCGCCATCGGCGCCCCGTCGCAGCGCTCGCAGACGACCCGCAAGGGCAAGAAGGCGTGGCGCAAAAATGTGAACATCGACGACGTCGAGGAGGTCTTGGAGGGCCAGCGCGCTGAGGAGCGGGTCACCGGGTGCGCATATATCCCCCCATCCCGGCTCAGGGCGCTGATGCGCTGCACATAGAACGACGCTCCAGGCGATGCAGGACGGGCAGCTCTTCCAGATCGACACCACCGGCGACGCCCAGAGTGCGTCCCCCCGCACTCCATATCGTTACTGATTACTGACCCGCCTATGCAGTTCGTGCGCGCACGCGCTTCTCGGTTTCACAGCTGACGGCGACGAAGATCCTCGCGCAGCGCTCGGCGGTGCCTGCGGTGTTCTCGCGGGTCACCGCGGCCGCGGGGAAGCGCAAGGCTCTCGTCAGCCGCGAGGACAAGGAACGCATGCTGCGCATCGCGAAGCGCCCGCGGAAGGGCCCTTTCAACAGCATCATGGACCCGGCCGAGTGCGCTGCGGGCAGCGGGGTCGTCGAGCTCAGCGCGGCCGTGAAGGAGAGCGGCTCGTACGACGCCTGGGCGCCCGAGCCTGCGCCGGAGGAGGTGAAGGACGGGCTTGAGACCGTGCAGAAAAAGAAGGCGAAGGTGCGGTCCCTCACCGGCCATGCGTAGACGACCAGCTGACCTTTTGTAGGCGCCGGTCACAACGAGGACCCGCGACCTCATCTCCGTGCCAGCGATCACCGAACCTCACCAGGGCACATCGTACAACCCCCCTGCCGATGCGCACCAGGCGCTGCTGGAGCACGCTGCGGCCATCGAGCAGAGGCATCTTGAGCAGGCCGCGAGGCTCGCGCTGACGAAGCAGAAGATGGAGTTAGCCAAAGTCGAGGAGGCCGTGTACGATATCTCTGTGGCGCCGGGCATGGCCGTGCAGGAGCTCGGCGACGACGTCGACGGGCCCGAAGAGAGCGACGACGAGGCGGCGGCGGCTGGGACGGCGTCGAAAAAGCTGCCCGAGCGCAGGACCACGTCGCAGAAAAATAAAGCTGCGCGGGTGCTGAAAGAGGTTTGTGCGTTTCGTGAAGCTGAGGGGAAAATATTGACAGCCTTCACAGAAAAGGGCTCTGGCGGCGAAGGCAGACCGGAAAAGGCTGTTGGCGTCGATCAACGATGCGAAGGCCATGCGGAAGTCGAATTCACGAGTAACGTCGGCGCAGGAGCTGGCGCGCCAGGAGCGCGTTGACGCGTTGGCGGACAAGCTGAAAAACCACGGTCTTGCGGGGCAGAAGCTCGGGAAGCACAAGGTACCCGAGGGCAATGTTATCGTGCAGATCGGCGAGGATCTAAGCGAGAATTTGAGAGGATTGAAGGTGTGTATTTTCCTTCAAAGTTGTCCTGCCGATGCTGATATCTGTTTCATAGCCTGAAGGCAATCTCTTCCGCGATCGGTTCCAAAGTCTCCAGCAGCGAGCGCTCATTGAGCCTAGAGTTCCTGTCATGTACGTCCCTGGTTCATTTCGTTGATATTTTTGCTCATTTCTTTTGATTTTGCAGTCCCACTAAACGGAGACGCCGCATTGTGGAATACGAAAAGCACGCATGGAAGAACTTCGATCGCGATTAGATTTCTGCACCTTTTGGTTATTCCTACTCCTACTATGTAGCACTCTGCGCTCGTGTTATGCGATTACTTTCGTTATGTGTACTTTTTATCGGATGGTAGTTGCCTTTGAGTGAATTTCTGAGTCGCACCACACGAATATCCTAATCGGGCAACGTCATTGAGCGCGTTGCGGCAACGCTGTTCGATCTCCCACCACCACCATCCCTGGAATCTTGCACTCACCATTCGCTCTCGAAACTATACTACACAGAACCAAGATGGAAGTAGATCACATAGAGGAGTCCCAGCAAGGGCCAAGTAAACCCTCAAACACCCGCAAAACACTCATCGTCCCAGTGGACGATGCGCACCCGTTCGATCTCGAGAGCTACATCTCCAACTACTCAGGTAAAGCCAACCCACCACACACACCCACCCCCGCCCCCCGCTGACTCGCCGCCCGCCTCGCAGGGCGCACCGCCATCGACCGGCTCATCCACATCCTCACGATCGCGCCGGCAATAGCGGCCGAGGCGTTCCAGCTCTGCGTGCAGCACATCCACCAGTCGCGCGACCCCGCGCTGTACCAGAACCTGCTGCAGGCGTACGAGCAGCTCGCGGCGCCGGCGGGCGTGTCGCTGCCGAACGCGATGGACATCGCGGAGCTCGACGTGAAGTGGGCGGACGAGACGATACAGAGGAACCAGGCGGACCGCGTGAAGCTCGAGGTCGAGCTGAAGACGTACAGCAATAACATGATCAAGGAGAGCATCCGGGTGAGTGTTGGGCTGCATTCGTCGGCGAGAGTGGGTACTGATGGGGATGCGGGTGTAGATGGCGCACCGCGATTTGGGGGACTTCTATCGATCTACGGGCGACTCGGGCACGGCTTTGAAGCACTATACGAAGTCGCGCGAGTTCTGCACGACGAGCCAGCACGTTCTTGAGATGTGCATGTCGATCCTCGAGGTGTGTTGTGGTCCTTTGATAATATCGTGATATATATCTCATTTATCCCAGCTGTTGATCGAACAACGAAACTACTCGCATCTCACGACCTACGTGTTCAAGGCCGATGCCGCGGTCGACGCCACGACGGCGGCAGCAGGAGCATCTGCCTCGGGCTCCAGTACCACGCCTGCCGTGACTGCCTCAGCAACTGCGTCAAAGAAGAAGTCGGTCGAGCGGGACAACGTCCAGGCCAAGCTCGATCTAGCGACGGCGCTCTCGCATCTCGGCCAGGGGAACTACGAAAAGGCAGCGACGGGCCTGCTGAAGGTCGGCCCGGCGAAGGACCTCGGGGACTGGATCGGCAAGGTATGTGCGGTGCAGTCAATGCAATTCGGGAATATACGCTAAGGCGAAGCAGCTCATCGCGCCAGGGGACATCGCGATCTACGGCACGCTGTGTGCGCTCGCAACGTTCCCGCGTGCCGCGATCAAGGCGAAGATCTCCGACAACTCCGTGTTCAGCGCGTACACCGAGCAGGAGCCGTACATCCGCGAGCTCGTCGAGGCGTACACGAACAGCAACTTCAAGACCGTGCTCGAAATCCTCTCGCGGTACTCGGTGCGTGTCCATCTCCAATTACTGCATGCCTTATTGGCTGATATATGTGTACAGACACGGCACTACGCAGACATCCACCTGGCGCCGCATGTGCGCGACCTGACGCAGCTGATCCGGAACAGCGCGGTGGTGCTGTACTTCCAGCCGTTCGCGTCGATCAAGCTCGACCGCATGAGCGCCGCGTTCGGGTGGACGATCGACGAGGTCGAGCAGCACGTCGTGAGCCTGATCCAGGCCGGCGACATCCAGGGGCGTGTCGACAGCCAGAACAAGGTGCTTGATCCGTCCGTGCGGGCCCTATCGGCGCAGGCTGACTTTTCTTTTGTCAACTAGATTCTGTACGCGAAGAAGACGAACTACCGGGACGAGCTGTTCGCGCGCGCGATCAAGGCCGGGATGGACATCCAGGAGACGAACCAGAAGCTGCTGCTACGCATGCGGTTGTACGTTGTTTCTTGCCTACTTTGTGCTGATGCTGACGCGGTCTTTTTCGATGTACAGGCAACAGGCAGATCTCATCGTGAAGCCGCCGAAGGGCAGCACCCACTCCGGTCAGCAGACAGGCGACTTTTATCTTGGGGATTAGTTGGTGGGCTTTGCTGTCGCTGTCGTGCTGTCGTTTTTCTCTGTAGATATTATACCGCATGTAATGCGCATCTTTACAATGGTTGCAAGTACTACATCAATTTGCTATCCAGATTGTATGCTATCGATCAGACGCAGCAGCGCAGTCATAACAAATGTGGGTTGGACTGCTCGATAGGCGCTCGTATGCAGCTCTGATATTTGAATACTACGATCTCGCCGCACATTCTTCTTCTTTATAGTGTTTGGAAGCACCGTATCATAAGTGACAACTTCTTTATCGTACAAGTATACACCGGAGGATACTAAATTACTGTATGACTTTAGCGCGATCTTGGCCTTCGTCATTCAATCTTCAAGCAAGTTCCTTGGCTAAAGCTTCGCGACTCGAGCGCTACTATCTAAGGTCAAACATCAGTGATCTGAGGCTACGAAGACTGGTAAGGCCTGCCGTTCACCTCAATCTGCATGTTCAACCCCGCTTATACACCGTCCACCGATCACTGATCAGAGCCCTCGGCTATACAACTACTTCAACGCCTGCCAATACAGGACCGCGAATCGCTCAGAATGGTCATCCGCGTTCGACAGATTTTGGCCAGAGAAAGACGCGGTGCTCGTTGGTAAAACTTGGGCAAAACCTAAAACTTCCTCTCCATGAGGTAAGTATTACCTGTCCTGGAACGGCATTATCAGTGATGCCGTCATGCCGATCACTCCGCCGTCGAAGAGAAGCGCCGCGTTCTCCGACAACGCTTCAACGCTATGGTAAGGATACCCAATGTCCAATCAGACCGCGCATGGTACACCAAGTCCCAGCCGTCGTTTGCAAGACTTCAAGGCGGGCACCCGACCGAGCCCGCACCTCGCATTTTAATCAGAGAGAACATCCGCGCGATCATAGTGCAGCTGTCTTGTAAAGTTGTATTTTAACATGCAACTCCGCTGGCGACGTAGTGGGCGCTGCCGCCCAGCTGCCTTGCGAAGCATTATGGCCTGGTGCTATTAGCACAGATATGGATATGCGCCGTATTTATGCGGCAC